TGGTCTGGGGGCGTGGCGTCATAAGGCTGGTTTGGGGGCGTGGCGTCAGGAGGCTGGTATGGGGGCGTGGCGTCAGAAGGCTGGTCTGGGGGCGTGGCGGGAGGAGGCTGGTCAGGGGGCGTGGCGTCATAAGGCTGGTCTGGGGGCGTGGCATCAGAAGGCTGGTCTGGGGGCGTGGCGTCAGAAGGCTGGTCTGGGGGCGTGGCGTGAGGAGGCTGGTCTGGGGGCGTGGCATCAGAAAGCTGGTCTGGGGGCGTGGCGTCAGGAGGCTGGTCTGGGGGCGTGGCATCAGAAGGCTGGTCTGGGGGCGTGGCTTCTGGAGGCTGGCCTGGGGGCGTGGCGTCATAAGGCTGGTCTGGGGGCGTGGCTTCTGGAGGCTGGCCTGGGGGCGTGGCGTCATAAGGCTGGTCTGGGGGCGTGGCGTGAGGAGGCTGGCCTGGGGGCGTGGCGTCAGAAGGCTGACCTGGGGGCGTGGCGTCAGAAGGCTGGCCTGGGGGCGTGGCGTCATAAGGCTGGTCTGGGGGCGTGGCGTGAGGAGGCTGGTCTGGGGGCGTGGCATCAGAAGGCTGGTCTGGGGGCGTGGCGTCAGAAGGCTGGTCTGGGGGCGTGGCGGGAGGAGGCTGGTCTGGGGGCGTGGCGTCAGGAGGCTGGTCTGGGGGCGTGGCGTCATAAGGCTGGTTTGGGGGCGTGGCTTCATGAGGCTGGTCTGGGGGCGCGGCGTCAGGAGGCTAGTCTGGGGGCGTGGCGGGAGGAGGCTGGTCTGGGGGCGTGGCGTCAGAAGGCTGGTCTGGGGGCGTGGCGTCAGGAGGCTGGTCTGGGGGCGTGGCGTCAGGAGGCTGGTCTGGGGGCGTGGCGTCAGGAGGCTGGTCTGGGGGCGTGGCGTCTGGAGGCTGGTCTGGGGGCGTGGCCTCATAGGGCTGGTCTGGGGGCGTGGCCTCATAAGGCTGGTCTGGGGGCGTGGCGTCTTGGTGATGATGGTGACGATAGTGGGGAGAATTGTGGGTATTTTGGTTGATAGTGATAATGGTTTTGATGGTGATGGTGGTGGTGATGATTGTGGTTGATAGTGATGGTAAGAGTAATGGTAACGATAGTGGTTATGATGGTGGCTATAATGAAAGAGATATCGCTGATAGAATGGCATGATTTAGGTTGCAGCAAATATGGTGATGATGGTGACGGTGCTGATAAATATGGTGATGATGGTGACGGTGCTGATAAATATGGTGATGATGGTGACGGTGCTGATAAATATGTTGATGATGGTGACGGTGCTGATAAATATGGTGATGATGGTGACGGTGCTGATAAATATGGTGAAGATGTTGATTATGTCGTTGACTGCAAAAATGCTCTGCGGTGAAGTTTGTGAAGATCATAATAAATTCCAAAAACAGTTTAATCATAATTGTGATGATATTGGTGACCGATGGCTTAAGTGTTTATAGTAAGTGTGATGATTTTTTCTTGTGGTGATGAAGAAAATGATAAAGAATATTGTGTTTGTGAAGAAAATCTCAAATAAGATGGTATTAGGTCAAAAATGACTGAGTATTCACATCGTAAATAAAATAAATTCATATCAGTTAAATATTGTATATGTATATATATATATATATATATATATATATATATATATATATATATATATATATATACATATAAATACATATACACTCACACATACACACACATACATACATATATATACATTTATACATATATATATATATATATATATATATATATATATATATATACCTACATATATGCATCCACATATATATGTACATATACCAAAGTAAGGAAAAAGTCACGCAGCATACCTTCCAAAATCAACCAGCTTTTCGAGTATTCTTCATGAAAACGGCGCCGCGTGGCATTTCGTGAGCCGCGCAGTGCCTAGGGGAAAGGGAAAGGGGGGGGGGGGGGACCGAAAGGCATCAGATTCCTGTGTTCTGTTAAATTGGACAAGGCGCGCGCCCTCTGCCAGACACCTCGCGCAACCCTCAGTCCTCAGGGGGAGAAAGGGAGAAAAAGAGGAGAGGAGGAGGAGGAGAGAGAGAGGAAGTGAGAGAGAGAGAAAGAGAGAGAGAGAGAGAGAAAGGAAGAGTGGGGGGAGAGGGAGAGAGAGTCAGAGAGAGAGAGAGAGAGAGTGGAGGGGAGAAGGATAGAGAGAGAGAGAAGAAAGAGAGAGAGAAAGAGAGAGAGAGAGAGAGTGCGGGGGAGGGAGGGAGGGAGGAAGAGATAGAGACAGAGAGCGAGAGAGACAGAGATAGAGATAGATAGATAGACAGAGAGAGAGAGGGGGGGGGTGAGAGAAAGAGAGAGAGAGAGAAGCAGTAAAAAAGTGAAAGAGGAGAGGTGAAGATGGGAGAGGAGACAAGAAAAGAGGAAAGGGAGAGAGAAAATTAGGAGGGAGGAGACAAGGAAAGAGGAAGGAGAGAGGAAAAGAAAGGTTGTTGGAAAGAGGACATGAAGAAGAAAAAGGGGAAGAGAA